GCCTATTGCTGTGCTTTTTAATTTATTAAATACACACAAACACAGATCCATGCTGCAGCCAGAAGCAGGGTCGACAAACGCTCGCAAAAACTCGTCCAATGATAGCAGGGGACCTGAAACACACACAAAGCACCAGCAGCAGCAGCAGCAGCAGCAGCAGCAGCAGCAGCAGCAGCAGGAGAAGAGGAAGGAGTGGAATTGTATTAGGGGTAATATATATGCAAACGCAGCAAAAGTGGCAGCAGCAGCTGCTGCTGCTGCAGCAGCGATACAGATAGCCGCAGCAATAACAGCAGCAACAAGAACAGCAGCAGCAGCAGCAGCAACAACAGCAGCAGCAGCAGCAGCAGATACAACAATGCATACCTGGAAGGCTGAGCTTGTCTACTATATCCTGCTTCCACCTAAACCTCTGGGATGCGCCTTGTCTAGTTTGTACTTGCTGCTGCTTCTGCTGCTGCAGCTGTTGCTGCTGCTGCTGCTGCTGCTGCTGTTGCTGCTGCTGCTGCTGCTCTCGTTGCTCCTGAGAAGATGCTTGGATTTGTTGTACGCGCCGTTGGTGTTGCTGCTGTAGCATCTGCCTCTCCATCTGCTGCTGCTGTTGCTGCTGCTGCAGCTGCTGTTGCTGATGCTGCTGCTGCAGCTGTTGCAGCTGCTGCAACTGCTGCAGCTGCTGTTGCTGCTGCTGCTCCTCTTCCTTCTCTGCAGGGGTCGTTTCCCTTGTGGCTTGATCCTGCTCCTGAGACTGTTGAGGCATCTCTCCAGCTTCTTTATCTGCCATCTGCTGCTGCTGCTGCTGCTGCTGCTCCTGCTGCTCTTGCTGCTCTTGCTGTTGGTGGAGTTGCTGTTGCTGCTGCATCTGCAGCTGTTCTTGCTGCTCCTTCTGTTGAGAGTTCATTTTGTTATTTCCTTTTTTATTCTGTTTCGGGTTTGTGTTTTTTGTTTCTGCTGTTTTCTTTGGTTTGGTTGCTCGCTGCTGCCCCCTAGCCATGAAGGTGATATGCGTCTTTGTTTGGGGGTATTTGTGCCTTTTCTTATGTTGTTGTGGTTTTGTTGTGGTTTTATTAGTTTTTTTTCTTCTTTTTATTTGTATTTTTGGCTGAGTTGGAGCTGAAGAAAAGGAGAAAACGACAGAAAACCAGCAGTGATCTGCGGCTGGTCGCTGGTTGCGTCGGCTGCACCTGCCTATACACCCCAGAGTCGATGCAGGTTGATGGAATTAAAGGCTTTGTTTGTTCTTTTTTTGAACGGAATAAAGGATATTTAGACAAAAACGTCTCTAAAGCTGAAAAAAAAACCTAAAAAGGTTTAATTTTTAAGGGCTAGGAGAAAGGTAGAACTGCGGTGGCGCGGCACTGCGTTCAGGTGTACAGACAGCTCGGTGTGTGAGGAAACACCACGGAATTGAGTATAAAATGTCTGAGGTATGAATACAATAGACAAATCATACAAAGTTAGAGATGGAATGCAAAAAAAAAAGCACAAAAGGACAGAAATAGTGGTGCTGCAGCCCCCTGAGCTCGGGTGTACAGACAGCTCATCGAGCCAGCAGGTAGCGACCGGTCGGTGGTTGCTGCGGT